TCCCTCAGCCTTTCCTCATCAGAGAGATGCTCCAGGCCCCTCATCATCTTTGTGACCCTCTGCTGTACCCTCTCCAGCAGTTCCCTGTCCTTCTGGAACTGGGGAGCCCAGAACTGGTCCCAGTGCTCCAGATGGGGTCTCCCCAGGGCAGAGCAGAGGGGCAGGATAACCTCCCTCATCCACCAACACCGCCGAGTCCTTCTCCTCAGGGCTGCTCTCACCTCGGCAGAGCTGCTCTCATTGTACTAAACCTCCAGAGCTGCTTCCTAAGACAAGCTGTGCTGATGCTGTGCTTGAGCTTACCCAGGGCCTGTGCTCAACAAGGTTTTTCTCTTTGGAAGCACTAATTTTAGTTTCCGTATCTCATCGATTTCCAGCGAAGTTTTAAATGTCAGTGGAAAGCTACTGGTTTGAGGGGAAAACCAACTAAACCACAACAGAGGAAAGGAGGGCGCATGAATTCCCTGATACACAGCTGAACTACAGACTCAACTCCTCTGCAGTTGCTCATTAAAGTGGTTGGAAGCGTTTGCCAGCATCTTCCAGCCTGATAACGCCCAATTTCACCCCTGCGAAACCCATCCAAGAATTCTTGGCATCTCGATACCCTCTGCATGACTCAGCCTCCCACAGGGAAAGAAAGGAAAACAGGGAATTTTAGGAAGGAAGGGTGCTGAAGCCACACACAGAGCTAAGAACAGCTCACTGTGTAAGAGAAAGGAAAGAGAAGGAAATAGGGGAGCTTGGGGAGAGAAGGAAAGTAGGAACACACATATATAGGAAAGAAAATACAAGCACTGATATGCATGGAAGGGAAAATCTCAGAATCACAGAATGCGATGGGGTTGGAAGGGACCTCTGGAGATCATCTAGTCCAACCCCCTGCCAAAGCAGGTCCACCCAGAGCAGGTTGCACAGGAACGTGTCCAGGTGGGTTTTGAATGTCTCCAAAGAAGGAGACTCCACCACCTCTCTGAACCGCCTCTTCCAGGGCTCTGCCACCCTTAAAGTGAAGAAGTTCCTCCTCATGTTTAGATGGAACTCCTTATATTCCAGTTTATGCCTGTTTCCTCTTGTCTTGTCACTGGGCTCCACGGAAAAAAGACTGTCCCCATCCTCTTGACATCCACCCTATAAGTATTTATAGGAGTTGATCAGATCCCCCCTCAGCCTTCTCTTTTCTCTTCTCCAGATTAAAAAGACCCAAGTCCTTCAGTCTCTCCTCATCAGAGAAATGCTCCAGGCCCCTCATCATCTCTGTAGCCCTCTGCTGTCCCCTCTCCAGCAGTTCCCTGTCCTTCTGGAACTGGGGAGCCCAGAACTGAAGCCAGTGCTCCAGCTGGGGCCTCTCCAGGGCAGAGCAGAGGGGCAGGATGACCTCCCTCCACCTGCTGCTCACACTCTTCTTGATGCCTCCCAGGATGCCATTGGCCTTCTTGGCCACAAGGGCACATTGCTGGCTCATGGTCACCCTGTTGTCCACCAGGAGACCCAGGTGTTTTTCCTCAGAGCTGCTCTCCAGCAGGTCAGCCCCCAACCTGTAGTGATGCAGGGGGTTATTCCTCCCCAGGCACAGCACCCTACACTTGCCCTTGTTGAATGGGCAAAATGGGAGAAAAGGATGTGAAGTGACAGAGAGAGAAGAGAAGAGAAGAGAAGAGAAGAGAAGAGAAGAGAAGAGAAGAGAAGAGAAGAGAAGAGAAGAGAAGAGAAGAGAAGAGAAGAGAAGAGAAGAGAAGAGAAGAGAAGAGAAGAGAAGAGAAGAGAAGAGAAGAGAAGAGAAGAGAAGAGAAGAGAAGAGAAGAGAAGAGAAGAGAAGAGAAGAGAAGAGAAGAGAAGAGAAGAGAAGAGAAGAGAAGAGAAGAGAAGAGAAGAGAAGAGAAGAGAAGAGAAGAGAAGAGAAGAGAAGAGAAGAGAAGAGAAGAGAAGAGAGAAGTATTGGAGAAACAAAAACTATATATGTCCTGCAATAATATATGTCCTGTAATAAAGCAGGAAGGAGCATGAGGGGATCTGGTACATGGAGGAGAGAGCAGACATGGGAATTACCTGGAATGAGACACGGACCCAGCAGTGCCACGAGGAGGAAAAAACTGATGAGCTCAACTCATTTAGTATCAAAAAAAACCAAACACGTTGTAAAATGAATTTTAAAAGACATTCCAGGCTTGAATATTCGCTTTTACAAATGACAAAATTATCCAGAAGATCTGTGTTCTCACCTATCAGCGGCAAAACACAAAATAAAGCTGCTGTAAGAGCGCAGCAAAAGCAATTGTTTGGAATGACACCACCCTCTGGTGGTCAAAAAATCCGGACACCATGGAGCTGGTAGCTGTGGTTTGCTGACCCCTTATTCATGTCACTGGCCCCAGCTTTCCTTAAAAAAAATAAGGCAATCCATTCCAGTCTGCACGTAATTAATCCAACTTGAGACCGTGCTGTTAAATGACACATCCACCTCATTAGTCTATATTTTAAAATGACACATTCATGACTGCTCATAAGCACAAGTTGTCTGAGGCTGGGAAACAGACTGGCAATCATTTTAATGTTCTCTGGCAAGCAGCAAGGATAGGAACAACACACATGTCTGTGCTTGGCTACGTAAATAAAGGAAGTGACACAATACTAAATTCCCAATTAAAATGTAAAGCTATTACCTGCAATTTTCTGCTTTATCTCTCCGGAAAATAAGCTCTTCAGAACCTGACACTCACTTTCCCTGTGTGCAAGACAGCTCCTAGCCCAGCAGACTCTAGTCTCTAGATGTGACTTTAATAGATGTCTTTAATAAAAGTTACAATACAGCTTGTAGGGAAAAATGGAAGATAAGTTTTCCAAGTTAATCCTGACCACATCCATAATTGTGTACATTTTCTCCAACTAATTCAAACCAGACTGCATAAAGCTGTGCTCAGAGGCAAAAAGAGGAGCCTATATATTGGGATCCAAAACCAGCTTTCTTATTCTGATCCTTAATTCTAACAGGACATTCCTGAATGTCATCCTAAGCCTGAAATACATAAAGGATAACTGTTATTTTTCCTCCCATAATGACAGTTACAGAATATCATTGCTGAGAAAAGCAATTGCCTCAATTCAAGGTTTTCATGAAGGTGCTTCGGGACTTAATGTAATGAGTTAACACAGTCATGATGTCTCCTGCCTCGCCTTACTACCACTTTTTGACTCCTGATCTTGTATAAACAGTAAAACCCAAATATTAACCACTCTGCCATTAGCTCCTTTCCTCTCTTTATGTTATCACTGCTACCCTCTTGGGGATTTCCTGTTAATAACACCCCTATTTCTCATAGCCAAATGATCCTTTTGGAAGCTGAGCCTCCCAGATACTCTTTTATCCCCAAAATTCTTGAGACCAGATAATTTCAATGGTCCTACATTCCTGGAAATGAGGAAGAGCTTGTCACGTCGCTCCCTCCTACAGTAACGATTACGTGTTTTGCAACTTTGATCTTTATGGTAGGCTGACCTTTAACTAAAACTAAGGGTTTGCTTAGTTGGAAGCAACGCATTTGTCTATTGCTTCCTTGCAAGAAATACACCATGCAGACCTTGATCAGGCAAAAGTCCTTCTTGCCAGGCCATTAACTATCATCTTGGATTCCACCTCGGGGCAAAAATACCGGCTCCTAGAAACACTCAGCATTTGTCCCTCCTTGCAGGTGCATTTAACTGCAGCACAGTGGGAACTGCTGCCAGCAGCGCCACAGTTTTGCAGCTCATAAAAGCAGGATTTTGGCACTCCTGAAAATGCGTCACCGGTCAGTGGCGGAGAGGACGAAAAGCAGGGAAAAAGCACCGCAAAAAGCATTTATTCTTTCCGCAGGGTGAAAACTAAAGCGTTACATCGAAGGACACACGGCACACCCACTCGTGTGCTCAGAGCCCAAGGGTTTGTTGCTCTCTTCCCTCCCTGCAAAACACTCGCGGTGAGAGGTACAGCCTGTTCCAAACACCTAACTGCAAAACAGCACTGCAGGTAGAGACTGGAGGAAAACTCAGCCCCAGCCTAATAGGACGGGAAGCATTTACGCCAATTACCTCACACTAAACTCACCCTTTTTAGTTACTAGGCACAAAAACACACCCCCAAGGAGGCGATGCCTATTTTTCAGGGCTGTCCCGAGGCCATTTGGGGCCCGCTATGAACGACAGCGTTACCACCTTCTGCAGCATGAGTCTGCTGCCTATTTTTAGCCTTACTTCCATTGGAGAAGCCCCAGAATCCCCACCTGCCTCCACCGTCAAATGCCCTTCTTCCAGCAAGCGAGTGGGAGGGAGAGATGGAATTAACCCCCACAACCCGCCTCCTGTGCAGCCGGGCTCCCAAAGATAAATAAAACCACTTTCAAAGCCTTCAGCCAGGCTGGGGCCAGTGGGAGCGGCCACAACCACCTCAGTTTTGCCTCCAGGTGACGATGGGCAGCGGCCCATTAGATCCTCACCTCACTGCCCCTCACTTCATGGAATGATAAAAAGGTTTGGGTTGGAAGGGACCTCAAAGATCATCCAGTTCCAACCCGCTGCCATGGGAAGGGACACCTCCCACCAGACCAGGTTGCTCAAAGCTCCGTCCAACCTGGCCTTGAACCCCTCCAAGGATGGGGGCAGCTTCTCTGGGTAACCCATTCCAGTGCCTCACCGCCCTCAGAGCAATGAATTTCTTCCTGAGATCTAACCCAAACCTTCCCTCTTTTCAGTTTAAAACCACTGCCCTGATTCAAAAGCCCCTCCCCACCTTTCCTGTAGCCCCTTTAGCTACGAGGAGGGGCTCTAAGCTCTCCCCGGAGCTTTCTTTTTGATCCGGAGGGTCAAACACCCTCCCTTCACCTCAGCACCAAGGGCGGGAAAGCGCAGCGCTTCCCCCCCCGGCGCTCCCCTCACATCCACCCCTCGGCTCCCTTCGCCCCCCCTCGGCTCCCGCTCTCCGACGGTGAGGAGGCCTGGGAGGACGAGGAGGAGGAGGAGGAGGAAGGCGCTGCCGCCTCGCCTCATCCCGCCGCGGTGACGGAGCTTCTTTTTTCAGCCGCTTTCGCTTGCTCCCCCCCCCAACTCTCCGCCCCGGAGAGGCCGCGCTACCAACCCGCCCGAGAAATTGGCTGGCCTCCCCGTTCCCCCTCCGTGGGGCTGAGGGGAGCTCCCTCCCTCCCTCCGGCCAAGTGCTGAGGGGCTGAGGGAAAGCGGAGCCCCCTTTCTCTCCCCCCACACCTTCCCCTCCCCGTCCCTTTTTTTCCACCGAAGGGAGAGACCTTCCTTCTCCGAAGCCCTTCCCAGGAGGGCAGAGGGATCTCCCCCTGCCCTCACCGCCCTCAGGCCGGGCTCCCCTGCCCTTTGCTCCCGGTCTCCTGGGTGAGTCAGAGCCTCGCAGGTGGGGACAGGAGCTGGGGACAGAAGCTGGCTCCTACCTGGAAGGGGAAGGGGTGGTCGTTTGCCCTCCCTTTCCCGCTTGGTTTCTCCCCGCAGGTGGTGGGGCTGGAGCAGGGTGAAGTCCTCCTGCGAGCCCTTGGGCCTGTCAAACTCTCGCCATGGCTGGTGGTGGGCTGGGGACCTCTCTCCTGCTGATGGCCAGCATCGTGGCGGCGGTGGGGCTGGGCAGGAGATTGACCCGCCGCCGGCTGCGCTCCCGCCCGCTCCTTTACACTTTCTTTCTGGAGATGTTGAGCACCTTCCAGATCTGCGCCTGCACCAACGAGCTCAGCCTGCTGGGCAACACGGAGCCCAAGCCACACACCGGCCTGACACTCACCTACGGCTTCACCGTCCTGCACGGCCTGACTCTGCCCGGCAGCACATGCAACCCCTGCGGCACCCTGCAGCCCATGTGGGGCGGTGGGACGTCGGTCAAGATGGGGGGACTCAAGATCGGGGCTCAATTCGTGGCAGCGGTGCTTGCCAGGGTGTTTATGCACTTTCTCTGGAGCTTGGAGATGGCCGAGCCACATTTCGGAGCGCTCTCGCAGGGCTGCAGCAACCCCATGCAGACTACAGAGATGCAGGCATTCTGCATAGAACTGCTCTTTTCTGTTGTTTTCCAGCTGACCGTCCTGCGAGTGGAAACTATTAATCCCAAATACAAAGTCCACTTGGTTGCTCTTCTCATCACCTTGCTCGTCTACGCAGGTCAGTCTTTTCTCTGTTCCTACAATAAAATTGTAACAGAGGGCTTTTTTTTTTTTCTTTTCTTAAACGTGTTAAGATGCAAAATTATTTTTCTCAGATTACAAAAAATGCGTCAAGGAAAGCCTTTGGTCCTACACATACCTTTGGAGTTTATGTAAAAGTTTGCCTGGTTACATTCCAGGCAGGTGTGGGGTTAAGAACGAAACGAGCGAGGAATTTAAAACCGTGTGGAATTCACACATAAATAGGGTTAAGAGTTTCAGGGAACACTGTGCAGATATCTCAGGGAAGGATCGTTTCGTAATCCCACTTTCTGTAGCGCGAGAGGTTTCATCCAACGTGCTCTGATTTGTGAGGCGGCGTTGGGAGAGCGCAGGGCTGTCTGCATCAGGAAAAAATGCTGATTGTGCAACGGCAGGTGATACGGAAGTTTGGCGTTTAAATAATGCATAATTCATATCAATGCGGCTTCTCCAGCTGCGTTCAATCCTTAAACCAGAACCAGGTATGGTTATTTGTAGAATGCACCCAGAAACGATAAAATAATACCTCGTGACAGGAAAAAATGCTGATTGTGCAACGGCAGGTGAACGAAATGAGCGAGGAATTTAAAACCGTGTGGAATCCACACATAAATAGGGTTAAGAGTTTCAGGGAACACTGTGCAGATATCTCAGGGAAGGATCGTTTCGTAATCCAACTTTCTGTAGCGTGAGAGGTTTCATACAACGTGCTCTGATTTGTGAGGCGGCGTTGGGAGAGCGCAGGGCTGTCTGCATCAGGAAAAAATGCTGATTGTGCAACGGCAGGGTACGGACCGGTATAGGCACTCGGCATCATATGAGGGTCATAAACTGAAACACAAGGTTTGCATGCGCTCTGACTGAAGGGGAGATTTCCAGGCTCATAGTCTGCTGTTAGTCTTGTGTTAGACATTGCTTTTTTTCTGAATTTTCACTTCCAAATGTAAAAAAAAAAAAAAAAAAAAGAATTAGGTGCCTAATTGTGGCATTTGTAAGAGTCTCCTCTCTCTGTGCTGCCCTGTGTGGCCGTGTCCTTGTCTGACTGTCACCTCATGCTTCCCCGAGGTGGGACACTTGTCACCTGGACCAGAGGGAAGGAAGAAGGGAGAGGAGTCAGTCTGAGCTTCTTTCTGCTGGCTCTTGATGCTGCCTGTTGTCCCCAGTGAAGTGCCTTCTCACTTGAGGGCTGCCCTGCAGGGATTGGGTTGTACTGGGAAGGAGATTCTGTCATTTGGGATAGGGGGAAGTGAAAGAGGGATGGTTACGGAGCTCCTTGCTTGTGCTCCAGCCCCCACCACAGAGACAGTCATCTAGGAAATGATCAAATCCGTTTATGAGAGAGGGAGATCGCTCTCTTATCCGCAAACATCTGGGATGTCATTGATGTCTGGTCCAAAAGGTTTAACTGTATCGTGCTATTATCTAACATAATAGCATATTGCAGAATAAACTAGTCGAATTTTCAGATGTACTAATGAAAAAAACCTTTTCTCATTATGTTCAGCTGAAATTAGCTAACACCTGAAAGATTAAAAGAAGTCCACGGAGACTTCTGAGAATTAATTTAGCTATTTGAACTACTTTCTAAAATTAATTTTTGAAGGCAGGGGCAAGGCGTGAGTCCATGTTAGCAATTAAATATATTTCTGAATTGCTCAGTGAAAGTGTAGCCAGAGATTATCCTGCCTCTTCTACAAGCATAGGAAGCTGGATTCAGGATTCTTAACATTCCTTTCCAGCTTAGCAAATCCTCACATAAAATAATACGTGTCACATTCCCTTTCTCTTCGCTACTTCATGCAAAGAATTCATGCCCGGTGTCGTTGGCCAGGCTGGCCTTGTTTTTTTTATTTTCCTAGCAGGAGAAGGCTGTGTACCAAGTCCTCTTCCTTCTCATAAATTTGGACTCGTTAGGACCATCCAGTGCAAACGATCCTGTACTTCCAGCAAACATCAGACCCTCTTGTGCCCAGGCCTCTTTCACCTGCACAGTGTGTCCTGGTTTGTGTGCAGAACACCCTGCGCTACCTGGACAACTTTCTTTCCATTTCTTTTAATCTAGAATCATGTAAAAATGTATATTTTCCAGGGAGCATATCCTGAATTTAGTTTTATCCCCTACTTAGTGGAAAATCCAATTCTTTCTTGTTCGCTCTGCTCCAAGCTTCCTCAGGTTTGTGCTCTTTGCTGGACACTCCATTTAAAAAAAAAATAAATAAAGAGGTGAGCAGTCTTCCCCCTGCAGAAGTCAGGAGAAGTGTTTACTGAGCTCTCCGAAGGTGTGGATTGAAGCCTCCTGCAGTAGAGGAGGGGGAAAACCCCAGGATTATTCTCACTGAGCTATTACTCAGTAAACACGGTACCCCAATTAATTTCTTTCTGTGATGAAGTAACGGGCCTGCACTGCAAGAGATCTCTTTTTCAGTGGACACCTTCGAGGTTCTCAGACCTCTGCTCACATCTACACAAGCATTCCCAGGGATGTCCTTCCTTTTCCTGCCCCCTCCGTTCTGAGGACCCCTTCCCACAGCCACTCAGCACATCCAAAGGGCTACAAAGCCAGAACAAATTTAGGCAAACTGGTAGCATTCTTCCTTTTCCCTACAAAAATAGCAAAGTAGTGTAGAATATTGAATGAATAATGATTTTTCAAACTTCTATGTGACAGATACAGTGTTCTAGTTAGGAACTTAGAAAGATGTGTTACATAAAGTAGATCTCAGGAAGAAATTTTTTCCTGTGAGAGTGGTGAGACACTTGCCCAGGTTGCCCAGAGAAGCTGTGGCTGCCCCATCCCTGGAGGGGTTAAAGACCAGGGTGGACGGGTCTTTGAGCAACCTGGTCTGGTGGGAGATGACCCTGCCCGTGGCAGGGGGGTTGGAACTCCATGATCTTTAAGGTCCCTTCCAACTCTAACCATTCTATGATTTACAAGATAAAATTCATGCTAATGATTTCTTTTCACACTCTGGTTTTAAAAACCAAATCAATTGTGCCTTCAGGATCCAAGTTTATCACAGTTATGAATGAACCAGAAATCTTAGAAAATACATCTCGTACATAGTGTCTCATATTTCGTTCCATGAATTATGTTCTACTATGAGTTTGAAAGCTGTGTCCTGTAAGAGGAATGATTGATGTCTAAAAAGGGACTGTAAGAAGGAATAGCAATTATTCCAGTTTGGTTTGGGTAAAATTTTGAAGGATAGCCATATCCCTATGGATTACACCCGTCTAAATGTATCAATACACATACAAAAAACATTAAGTTGTATTTTTATGGTTGACTAAGTGAAGTTGTTAGAATAGATAAATGTTGACAGGTCACTGTTGCGTCTACCTCATAAAAGGCACTTAGACATGCCAGGCAACTTACTCCAACAAATAACATCACATTCTACAGTATTTTCAAACTTACAAGATGTTCCTTTAATTTTTCTTCTACTTTTTCGTGGTTAAAAATATTTGGATTATTTTTTTTAATGTTTAGTCTTGCAGAGATCTAATTTTTATAATAGCGCACGCTGTACACAAAAGCTCCTACTGCATTCACTCTGTTTCTTCTACTAAGTAGAAGGAGAAAAGGGAACATCATGTCTTTGCCTATTAAGGGAGTGATTCAGAAGCTGAGGATGCAGATTATGTACACATTGGTAATGAATATTTTTGGATATTTCCTTTTGGATGAGATTTAATTAGGGGAAGAAAAAAAATACAGCTTTTGAAGGCTTTTTCATTTACAGGCAATATTGCAGTGAAGTCAGAATTGTATGAAATTGGTTAGAAGTTTCAGAGCCTCACATAGCAAGGTAAAACGACATCTTTTTAATTCTGAGTTTCTTCCTAACTTTGCTTTTGCCTTTAGTAATTTCATTATCTCATCTTTCTAAGTTTTTGTGTTTCCAACAGCAAAGATGTTACACTTCTTTTGCTATGAAATCACTTCTCTTTTCTGGTCCACAGACTGAAATGTTTTGTAAATATTTTTAAATAAGACTACACTAGTGGCCCTGGCCTGTGGCTGACATTCCAGTAGTTATTAGTAATGAATATTAAAGAAATAGTGCAGTTAAAACTCTAACGTTTAATATTCAGAAACAGCAACTGCTTCCTGAGAGTGAAATCCTGCTCTTGAATGTGTGTTTGTGGATGTAAAAGCAGAAGCAGTGAATTTATAAATAGATTAAAGCAAAGTAAATTATTGTGGATGGCCTTCCTGGCAACAGCAGGAGATATTGATGTGTCCGTGGGCAGAGTATCAGCCTACACAGTAAATCTGAGGTGCTGTTCAAAACAAGCCTAAAACCAGAGCAAACTGAGTAGGTCAACAAAGACTAAAACCTTCCCGAACTGTAATAACGGTAAAAGAAATAATGAGTGTAATAATTGACTAAAACTTTCAGTAGATGATTGCGTGCCCATAACGAATGAGGATTACAGCAGCGTGGTATTTGTATGAAGCACAGGTTCAAAGCTCATGCTAAATTATTTGGGAAAAATCAAGAATAAGCTTTAAGAAACTAAACAGACACATAATGTATTATTTTGGAACAGATTAATAGAAAAAACAGAAATGGGGTACAGGAATACAGATAATTTTGCTCAGAGCAATGCTTTTCCTGCAGGATTGCAATGAGAGGAACAACTTCTGACAGAATTAAAAACACTCACCTCCAGGTTTATCTGCTGTGTAATTACAGTTTAGTCCCCACAACGTAACACGTTTGGATCTAGATTATTTAGAGAATGTTTAGGTGATTTCATCTACATCTGCAGTCAGAGGGAAGGAAAGATGCTCAGCTGCTTTCAGCTTCCCTTTTGAAGAGAGAGGAGTGGGATTTGCTTTTATTTTCTTGATATAACACATAGAATGACTGTTACAGCTTCTCCCACAGTTACTACCAGAGGATAATCTTAGTGTTCTAGAAACTGATATGATAATACTAGTGTTTTATTAAGAAAGTACAGAGGTTAATGTACCAAGAACAGCGCTTGACAGGTTTTTTCCATTATCTTGCATATGTGTTTCATGCAACATGAGGATGTAACGAAAGCCCAGTATTTCTTTCCTAATATTTGTGTAATTTCTGTCTCTTCTAAAAGTGTGGTAGAGACCACGTAAAACAGCTCACTGTTTTATCAACGGAAACATTCAACGTTGGCCAAACCCATCTCTTCAAAGAATATTTGCTAGAAAGAGATAAAGGAAGTTACAGCCTGCACTTCAGATATTTTAAAGCATTTTAGAAAACAGTTACACTGTGAAACGTATCATCCGGTGAATAACTTCAGAAGAGTTCATCTGTTCAAATTATTTCTCCCAATTCATTTTATTGCTTTCTTGTAGTATTGTGTGGGTGCATTTAAAATAAACATTAAGAAAGATGATTTGATTTCATATTGTTTACATTTTATTGCAGGTGGAAATCTGACGGGAGCAATATTTAACCCAGCGTTGGCTTTTTCATTACACCCAAATTGTTTCTATGACAAATTTGGGAGTTATTCACTAGTATATTGGATAGCACCATCCTTAGGTAAGTTCTTAATATTTTAAGTATTTGAGAAAGTCACACGGTTCAAAAAAAATGGCTATTCTTTATTTGACAGCTGGTTCGTTTTCTATTTTAAATAAAATCCAGAAAATAGTCAAGTACAATTTATGTGTAGAAGTCATTCAGAATCAGGGGTTTGTGTTGCAAATGCAAACTATGTATTTTAAACTTGTGTAATGCTCTGTGTAGAGCACCTGTAACACTGTTTTGTGCATCAAGCATCTAATACTGAGTTGTAAACAACAGTTTTATTCCACCAAACAATATCTACTGTTTTGATAAGGAAACAACCCTATTAGGTTATATTCTTGTTTAGTTTAGATGTCATGTTCAGAGTCTAAGTACTTTTGGGATACTTTGAGCCAGATAACTCTGCTCCCAAAGAACCACAGCAGCTCAGTGCTAAATGGAAAAGGGTTAGTGTTTGGGTTAAGGTTAACTAGTTAGTTATAAACCAACAGCTGTTTACTCTGGAGCGTGATCCTTTTGAAGCTGCCTGTTGTTTGGGATTTCATGCCTTGGTACTCAAACCCAGCCTGTTTGAGGTAGGCTCCATATTCTCACCCTGACCAAAGGCCCGCTTGTAGGTTCTACCAGAATATTAAAAAGGAGAAGAAGCTTCCTAAAAGTAAATACCAGCCTGACTAAGTTCAAAAAGAGAAAGATACTGGTTAGCATGGAGTTTCTGTCTCACTTGGTGACAGTGTGCAAGGACATGGGGATGATAAATTAAAAAAACTGCCCACAGGTGTTAGGACAAGTGCTTAAAATACACTTTCTCAATTATTACTATTGTAATATCAAATCTCTTTTATCTGCTTAGTGTCTAAACTTTGCAGTTCCCATTCTGTGGTTTTCCACCCATCACTGTTGGAAACAATCTGTTCTTAGTTTAAGAATAAGGAATGTTAGTAACTGGACTTTTTCTGAACTTAAATTATGGTTTTAATTTGGAAGCTATTGCTTTTAACTTCTAGTTGTGTGCAGGTGACAATGCACCGTGTTGTTTGTTTACAGCCAGTCCCTGCAAATCTTGAGCGTTCTGCTTAGAGGGTATATAAAGCAGCAGCCTGTTAATCCAGAGTTCTTTCATGACCATTAATCCTATTAGAAGGTACAAAAGCGATGAAGGTACAACAGGGTGTGAAACACACAGAGGAAACATCTGAAAGGGCTCCAGTTATAACAAATAACTTCTTTTCCTTGTTTGAGTTGATGTCTGTGCGTGTTCTGCTTGCACTGACTCTTTGTCAAAAAGGGAGAGAGAATTTTTAGTTTGACTAAAATTCACTTTAGTATAATTTTCATAGAATCATAGAATGGTTCAGGTTGGAAGGGACCTTAAAAATCACCTAGTTCCAACCCCCTGCCCTGGGCAGGGACACCTCCCACCAGACCAGGTTGCTCAAAACCCCGTCCACCCCGGCCTTGAACCCCTCCAGGGATCGGGAAGCCACAGCTTGTCTGGGCAACCTGGGACAGTGCCTTACCATCGTCACAGGAAATAATTGCTTCCTAATATCTAATCTAAATTTTCCCTTTTCTGGTTTAAAACCGTTACGCCTCATCCTATGTGTCCCCTCCCTGACCAAGAGTCCCTCCCCATTTCTCCTGGAGCCTCCTGAGGGACTGGAAGGGGCTCCAAGGTCTCCCTGGAGCCTTCTCCTCTCCAGGCTGCACACCCCCAACTCTCTCAGCCTGTCCTCACAGCAGAGGGGCTCCAGCTCTCCCAGCATCCTTGTGGCCTCCTCTGGACCCGTTCTAACAGGTCCATGTCCTTCTGATGTCCATGACTCCAAAGCTGGACATTCTGTTAAATTAGATATCCCACCAGGATGACTGAACAAGAGTAAGCTCAATATAAACCTTTGGACTCTTCCAGTTTGGAGCTAATGAAATGTCTTGGGCAAAGCTGATGAGCATCACCTGGGTCCTCACAGAACACAGGATATTTCTCAGAATTCAGGTTTAGCTTTCTGGTGTATTGACCGATTTCAACCTGATGACCATTTTGAGATTTGCCAGGTTGTAAGCACTCAGGATTTAACATTTTGGCAAGTGATCTAAAGCAGGAGGCACTCGGAAAGACGGTGTTCTACTTATTTAGCAAGACCCATCCTGCAGAACTGTGTTGCAGAAAGCCTTCGGGTGATTTCAGCTTGAGTAAAATGAGGAATTATTTAGAATGCAGTTAGGGATTATTGTTACATTTCTATGAAAATTCATGAACAGCAGTTTATTGTTAGTTCTAACATACAGAAAATACACACAGAATACGCTGTCTCTTAGTTTATGAGAGAAAGGAAGTGGTAAAGACGTGAATACTCGGGACACATCACTTTTTGTGTAGTGTGACTCCTGCAGGCAAACATTTTGTTACAGATCTCAGGTCTGGGGATCACCTGAAGGGTTGAGTAGACACTTGATAATAGAAGTATCTCATTACAAAACAAGGGAGCTTCATCTAGATGTTATTTTATAAACCAAGAGTTGTAAACAAATGTAAGGGGTCTGAGGTGGAAGTATAGAGGAGGTTGAAAACCTCTATAATGTATTTCAAAATAAATTTGGAAACTGAATTGATGAATACAGGAGCACAGATCTACAAATCTAACATGAAAGGAAAACTTTCTGACACTTTTTGAAAATAAGAAATTAGGAATACATTTTTTAACGTATTAGGAATACATTTTTTTTTCCATAATTGGACCAAATGATGAGGCATCTCAAAAAAATACCTGTTACGATGATAATAAAATTATTGTGAAAAGAACCTCTGAGCAGAATCCTCAAAGTAGATGATGAGGGAAGGGATAATTTAAATTTAGTTGTAAAAATTACTTTCAGAACCCATGTGTCAGCAGAAATACTGTTTCAGACGTCCTAGAAACTGGCAGAGTCATAGCGATAAGTTAATTTGAGGTCTCCACTTTTCCCAGCGTCAGCATCTGAGATGGTTAAATTACTTTGTTATTATTTTGGGGAAGTCTGTTAGGGGTTTTTTTTTGTGATTTGGCTTAATATCTACCACCTGCAGAACCACGGACTAGTGTTACCAGGAAAGTTCAAATTGCCTGTGCAAAGTATGATACGATCTCATCTGTGGGCACAGCAAATACCATGAGGACAAGGAGACTGAGACCATCCCGGATAGAAGAGACTCTGATCTAGCCAAAAGCCAGTTTTTAACCATCAACTTTAAAGCCATTTCCTTAGAAAGGACACTCAGAACAAGAGGAAGATTGATTATCACCTCCACAAGGGGAGGAGGAAGGGGAGGTTTTCTTTTAGGATCAACAAATCTACCGGTGGCTTATGGTCTTTCATGAAAATAATCTCGGAGCTGTAGTTAAGAACTCGTTTTTCAGAAAGGTTTCACTAATGTTTTGGTGCAGGTGATTCTCCAGTAGCATTAAACCAGCTAATTCTTGTAGGAAATGGAGATGTCAGTGAGTGTTTACACATAGGCAGGCCTAGATTCTGCGCCGTGAAGGGCGACAAAGATGGTGAGGGGTCTGGAGAATAAGTCTTATGAGGAGAGGCTGAGGGAACTGGGGTTATTCAGCCTGGAGAAGAGAAGGCTGAGGGGAGACCTTATTGCTCTCTACAACTCCCTGAAAGGAGGGTGTAGAGAGATGGGGGTCGGTCTCTTTTCTCAAGTCACAGGCGACAGGATGAGAGGAAATGGCCTCAAGTTGCGCCAGGGGAGGTTCAGGCTGGATATTAGGAAATTTTTTTTCACTGAAAGGGTTATCAGGCATTGGAATGGGCTGTCCAGGGAGGTGGTTGAGGCACCATCCCTGGAGGTGTTCAAAAGACGGGTTGATGTAGTGCTGGGAGGTATGGTCTAGTGATGGTGATGCTTCTTGTTTGTTGTGTGGGTGTCTATTTTTGTCAGTTAGGTTGATGGTTGGACAAGATGATCTTTAAGGTCCCTTCCAACCTAGAAGATTCTGTGATTCTGTGAACACGGGAGCAGCAAGTAGCCGGGGAACAAAGATAGTTTCTGTTTCCCTGCCAGAGGAATTCCTGTTAGTTGTCCAGGCATGATTACACCATTAGGAATGATGGGGACTGAGATAATGCTGCTTTTTGAGTACCGGAGAGTTGGCAACTATGAATGGAAGAGTTGGTGACAAGATGCTGGACGTGAGGGCAATAAAGTGGGATGCTTTTTTCCTGGACAGGTACCAGCTTAGCGTCCTACTAGGTTTCTAACGCTACGAAAACAGAATCGATGCCCACTTCTTTAGGTCAGTTTTACCAGAAAGACTAATACTGTTCCTTAGAAGAAACAGTTTTTTCACCATCAGGATAAAGAATAAGTGTCACAAAAGTCACTTAGCAGTAGATTTAAGTGGAGGAGGTAAGCAAGGGAGAAGGCTACATGTGAAACTTCCACGTTTCTGCTCAGAGAACGTATCCAGAGGTTTTAGAGAATTTGTAGAATTATCTAGGGTGAAAGGGACCTTTAAGATCATCTAATCCAACCACCAACCTAACTCTGATTAAAAAAAAAAATAAAATGACTAAACCATGTCACTAAGCACCACATCAACCCGTCTTTTGAAAACCTTCAGGCATGGTGCCTCAACCACTTCCCTGGGCAGCCCATTCCAAGGCTTGATAACCCTTGCAGTGTAAACATTTTTCCTGATATCCAATCTGAACCTCCCCTGGTGCAACTTGAGACCGTTTCCTCTTGACCAACCTCCCCTGGCTACACCCTCCTTTCAGGGAGTTGGAGAGAGCCAGAAGGTCTCCCCTCAGCCTCCTTTTCTCCAGGCTGAACACCCCCAGCTCCACCAGCCGCTCCTCACTCTATCAAAGGCCTTACTAAAGTCCAGGTCAACGTCCAGGTTTCCATCAAGGTCAGTATTGGTACACTTGAGCTCAGCAAGAAACCAAGAATTGCAAGTCCACGTGCAGTGAAGTGATCAGCATCTCAGGGACTTAGTAGCAAAGGAGGGTGTCAACAACCAGCACAAGTCTCCACCTCCCAGACCCTGGTCCACCGAGGGGTGTTCAGCTCTGCAGACATCATCTGAGAGAGCAAAACTCTTCGGCAGTGAGCGAACACAATGCAGGGAGTTCCTAGAAAACTGTCACTGATCAAGTCTAATTCAAATACCGAAGCCAGCGAGTGGAAATCCTATATTTGACCTGCTCACCAACAGGGAAGAACTGGTGGGGAACGTGGCCACTTGGGTTGTAGCCCTCGCAAGAGTTCAGGGTCCAGAGGAAGGCTGGGAAGGTAAACAGCAGAGCTCTTTGGACTTTGGACTTCAGGAGAAGGGAATTCTGCTTATTTAGGAATTGCTAGGTCAGTAGTGACTCCCTCGGAAGTTACATATGGCAGGAGTATCCCATGGAAAGGTGATTTTTCAGAAAAGCTTATTTGAGCTCAGTAAAAAGTTTTGATGGGCAGGAAAACTCCCAGATTAACCGTTCTCCTTGGCAGACAAGGTCACTGCAAGGCCCCAAGTTGTGGTGTGGGTGGAGTGGACTCCAGGAAAACCTTCAGGAGAAGGGTGCAGCAACAGTGGAAGAAGTTACCTGGTGAAGCTCTGCAGTCCCTGTCCGTGGAGGTTTTTCGGGACACAGAACTAGCACAGGCAATAGTTCTGCACTGAGTAGGAGATTGGAAAATTCCTCCCAATAAGCATTTTTTCTGATGTAGAAAGCTTCATAAAATACAAGCTTTAGTTGAGGAACATCAACCAGAATCCACTTCATTTTTTGAAAGAGAAGATACTGATTTTTTTTCCAGGAGAAAAAAAGAAAAGATCTCAAAAAATTATATTATGTGCCCTTTTTGGACTTGGATAATCCTTATGGGTCCTATCCAAGTTGAGATATTCTGTGATTCTCACGAATAACCTACAATCTCTAACTTTACCATTTTTCAGCTCGAGTAAACCTTAAACTAGAATGATCCCTGAAAAAAAAACAACACTATCCTATACCTGCTTGCAGCCCCGAAAACCGATGTGGTTATCAAAGCAGACACTGCTGCCAAACTCAGCCTTAGCCCGTCGTCTGAGGAATGGAGGTTTAGCAGCTGGGTCAGTCATTTATACGTCCATGAAAGGAGGCTGATACAGCAAAAGGAAGGTGAAGATCAGGATTCAAACATCAACTACACAAAGAAAAACAAGATTATTAACTCATAGGGATCACTTGCATGGTCTGTTGTCTGTTCACAAGCTTTCTTTGTGAAATAGATGATATTCAGTGGTGCCTGGGGACAGGACAAGAGGAAATGGGCACAAACTTGAATCTAAGAAGTTCCACCTAAACATGAGGAGGAACTTCTTCACTGTGAGGGTGGCAGAGCCCTGGAAGAGGCTGCCCAGGGAGGTGGTGGAGTCTCCTTCTCTGGAGACATTCAAACCCCACCTGGACACGTTCCTGCACAACCTGCTCTGGGTGGACCTGCTTTGGCAGGGGGTTTGCCTGGATGATCTCCAGAGGTGCCTTCCCACCCCATATCATTCTCTGATTCTGTGTTTGCAAAAGTACTGACCCCGTCTTAGCCCTTTCAACAGAAAATTCCATTTTTTCTGCAGTCCCTGCTGTTTCGCACATTAGACACTCAAATACTTGAACACTGTGTTTATTTTCAATGCCAGTACTCTGTCCTTCTCAAATGTATTTAAATAAAGGTCTTTTCTGTAATTTCTCTTTCCAGGTACAATACTTGTGGCTTTTATATGGGACGAAATCCTTCCTCGGATATCCTGAGACATCAAATTCTGAAATCTAGCAGTACTACATTAAAATCCTTTCAAGAGCTGCAGCCATGAAGCTTTCAGAAAACTGACATTGAATTCCACGTCACCTTTCAGTTGTACTTTCAGATAATTGTGTTTGAAATATTTGACTTAGAAGGTTGTCTTTGAATCCTTATTTTGTAATAGCGTATCAGGGATTTTTGAGAATATCTGCCAACGTTTTCAGTTCAGCCAGATTGAATGTGAAGGACCGTTAGAACCTTGAAACTTTTGTCACTTTAGCCATAAGTGCCATTTGCTGACCTTGATCCCAACAGCATGCAAAAACTCATTTCAGAGAAAACAAAGTTTGATTTTATTGGATTTCTTCCCATAGAAGGCACCTGCAAAAAAAAAGGAGCTGAAGATTTCATTCCTATAATGACCTCATCATGTTCCTACTTGTGATTTACGTATCTCAGAGAGGATGAAAGGCTCCACGAGTCCCTAGAAGAGGCTCCACAGCTCTATTCTAGAGGTACCCTACACCATAATTAAAAGTCTGTAGGACCAGCATTGTTTTAATTATAACCGAGTGCAGGTAAGTAACCCCCTCGCTTCCTTTTGGGAAGGTTTTGCCCCATCCTGTCCCACTACAGTCTGGTGAACGTTGGAAAGAGCAGTAATAAAATACCATAAATGATGTAGACACACAGAAAAGGGCATTTTAGGCAAAAAAAAAAAAAAAAAAAGAACAATCTGAGATTACTGCTGCCTCTACGCAGAGTAAAATAGACACAGTATATAGGGAGGAATCATGTGGAATTGCATTTGTCCTTGATTTTATGTAACTCTTATGGGATATTTTTCTTGAAATAAATGAATTTGCAATACAGGAGAATAAATAAAAGAGCTAAAACCACAGGAAAGCTCCGTACCCAAACTGGCACCAACATGCCCTTCGGAGCCTCAGCTGAGGAGGACACCACCGATAGGGACCATCCTCTGAAGCTCCCTTTCTACTATAAGGTTTCTCCTTCTGGATGCATCTTAATTTGTATATAGGCCAAAATGAATTTTCCAAATTTAAGACTAAATTCAGATTTTCTTTCTATAGTTACTAAGTTTGAAAGGAGAGGTAATTAATAAGTTCTATGGAGATCCCAGTAGCGAGTCCCTCAACTCATTTCCCTCAACTCATTTCCCAAGTCCCCTCACAGACCATAATCTCCGAGGAAGGAGGGGGGAACCAGACAGGATTGTGTTTTTTTTCACAGTAAAATTATGAACCAAGTCTTAATCAGCTACTGTTGTCAGCCGTCTTTTTTTGCAAGAGTTGGGGAAGGAAAATATTTTCATGTAATTTCTTACTCGTTGCAATAAAATCTTTTTTCTCCTTTTAATTTTCCGAGGTTATCTTTAAGATTACATTGCAAAATGAAATCAACTGTTTGAACACGCTTTTCATGCGAGAGTCTTAATCCACCACCCTGTATCCAGTCATTAAAATAAAAATAAAAAAAAATAAAATAGCTTTCTAATATACTGAAGAGAACTAAAACTGGTGGGTTATCACTCAGCAGCACCATGGGATGCTGGTGGGAGGAGCCCTGCTAAAGGAATATCCCAATAAATGACTTTTTTTTTCCTCCTGGGTCTTTGCCTTTACAGGTGTATTCAAGTTTTCAGCCTTGTTTCTTACAGAAATGAGCCCGATTCGCAGGTCTTTTTGAAGCCCACGGGGTAAAGGTCTCAAAAATAAACCAGGCTGCCAGGGAAAAGGGAAAAAAAGATACAAAGCTCCAGGCAACCAAGGTTTCTTAGATTCCACATCGTTTTTCACCCCTGCGAAAGCAAAGTCCAGGAACCAAAGAGGTCAGATCTGAAGTTCTGTTCATCTACGTTGTTTATTTTGGCATAATGTCGAGTTTAAAAATAAAATAATGGTCTGAATCTGGGTGATTAACAAGTTGTTGCTCTAGTTATAGCCAGTAGAATATAAAAACTCACTAAGAAAATAGACAAGTCTTAAATGGACTAAATGAAGGCAAAACCAGAAAGTAGCAGAAAGAATGAAAAAGAAAACTTAAGTTAGGAACTGAATTTAACTATTTTTGGAATTTAGAATTCCAACCTGAATTCCATAACCCTTGGAATTTAGAATTTAACTATTATTTTGGAGCACACACAAAAATTAACATTTTATATTTGAAGTAATGAACGCTTAGAAGTTTAAGTGCTCCCAGAACACGTAACACAGCGCTTAAATACAAAGTTTTCTTGAAAATAAAAATTTGCCAATCCACACAAGATCGCTTCCCGACGCTGCCTCCAGGGCTCACCCAGGGCTTTTTCCACCTCGCCAAAATTAACCTCGCTCCTCTGAGTTGATGGGAAGCACCATAAGATGCCTCCTCATGGGGCTCAACAGCAGGACACAACAACTCCTCCCTCTGGAGCTTCCCATGGCTCAGTGAGGACCAAGGGAAGCCAGGAACGGTCCATCTACTACAATATATAACGAGTAATCTGCGGTTTAATATGAAAAACAGTAACTCCAATAACTAAGGTTTCTACCAAAAACCCCCAAAACCAAACCTGTCTGTTTTGACAACGAATGGTGACTTCATATTGCATGAACCTTCTTTCCTGATCTACGGCGCTGGTGGAGTTTTAGCTGTCCCAAAATGTCACCCTGTGAAGGTTCTCCAAATCCCAGCACAAAAGTGAAAGCATCGCTCTGTGCCCTCCTGTGTTCTCTGTATGGGTGTAAGCAGCACGTGCAGCCACAAAGCAATCCGGGGGGAAAATCAGAGATAAATCAGGAAAGAGCCCCGATAAGGACTGGGATTCCCAGTTCTCCTCCTTCCATCATGCCCAGGTGAACCAGTTTTCTCTCTTTTGGAGGAAGAAACAAAGCCAAACCTGGCCAAAAAAAAAAAAAAAAAAAAAGAACAATCTGAGATTACTGCTGCCTCTACGCAGAGTAAAATAGACACAGTATATAGGGAGGAATCATGTGGAATTGCATTTGTCCTTGATTTTATGTAACTCTTATGGGATATTTTTCTTGAAATAAATGAATTTGCAATACAGGAGAATAAATAAAAGAGCTAAAACCACAGGAAAGCTCCGTACCCAAACTGGCACCAACATGCCCTTCGGAGCCTCAGCTGAGGAGGACACCACCGATAGGGACCATCCTCTGAAGCTCCCTTTCTACTATAAGGTTTCTCCTTCTGGATGCATCTTAATTTGTATATAGGCCAAAATGAATTTTCCAAATTTAAGACTAAATTCAGATTTTCTTTCTATAGTTACTAAGTTTGAAAGGAGAGGTAATTAATAAGTTCTATGGAGATCCCAGTAGCGAGTCCCTCAACTCATTTCCCTCAACTCATTTCCCAAGTCCCCTCACAGACCATAATCTCCGAGGAAGGAGGGGGGAACCAGACAGGATTGTGTTTTTTTTCACAGTAAAATTATGAACCAAGTCTTAATCAGCTACTGTTGTCAGCCGTCTTTTTTTGCAAGAGTTGGGGAAGGAAAATATTTTCATGTAATTTCTTACTCGTTGCAATAAAATCTTTTTTCTCCTTTTAATTTTCCGAGGTTATCTTTAAGATTACATTGCAAAATGAAATCAACTGTTTGAACACGCTTTTCATGCGAGAGTCTTAATCCACCACCCTGTATCCAGTCATTAAAATAAAAATAAAAAAAAATAAAATAGCTTTCTAATATACTGAAGAGAACTAAAACTGGTGGGTTATCACTCAGCAGCACCATGGGATGCTGGTGGGAGGAGCCCTGCTAAAGGAATATCCCAATAAATGACTTTTTTTTTCCTCCTGGGTCTTTGCCTTTACAGGTGTATTCAAGTTTTCAGCCTTGTTTCTTACAGAAATGAGCCCGATTCGCAGGTCTTTTTGAAGCCCACGGGGTAAAGGTCTCAAAAATAAACCAGGCTGCCAGGGAAAAGGGAAAAAAAGATACAAAGCTCCAGGCAACCAAGGTTTCTTAGATTCCACATCGTTTTTCACCCCTGCGAAAGCAAAGTCCAGGAACCAAAGAGGTCAGATCTGAAGTTCTGTTCATCTACGTTGTTTATTTTGGCATAATGTCGAGTTTAAAAATAAAATAATGGTCTGAATCTGGGTGATTAACAAGTTGTTGCTCTAGTTATAGCCAGTAGAATATAAAAACTCACTAAGAAAATAGACAAGTCTTAAATGGACTAAATGAAGGCAAAACCAGAAAGTAGCAGAAAGAATGAAAAAGAAAACTTAAGTTAGGAACTGAATTTAACTATTTTTGGAATTTAGAATTCCAACCTGAATTCCATAACCCTTGGAATTTAGAATTTAACTATTATTTTGGAGCACACACAAAAATTAACATTTTATATTTGAAGTAATGAACGCTTACGAAATTTAAGTGTTCCCAGAACACTTAACACAGCGCTTAAATACAAAGTTTTCTTGAAAATAAAAATTTGCCAATCCACACAAGATCGCTTCCCGACGCTGCCTCCAGGGCTCACCCAGGGCTTTTTCCACCTCGCCAAAATTAACCTCGCTCCTCTGAGTTGATGGGAAGCACCATAAGATGCCTCCTCATGGGGCTCAACAGCAGGACACAACAAATCCTCCCTCTGGAGCTTCCCATGGCTCAGTGAGGACCAAGGGAAGCCAGGAACGGTCCATCTACTACAATATATAACGAGTAATCTGCGGTTTAATATGAAAAACAGTAACTCCAATAACTAAGGTTTCTACCAAAAACCCCCAAAACCAAACCTGTCTGTTTTGACAACGAATGGTGACTTCATATTGCATGAACCTTCTTTCCTGATCTACGGCGCTGGTGGAGTTTTAGCTGTCCCAAAATGTCACCCTGTGAAGGTTCTCCAAATCCCAGCACAAAAGTGAAAGCATCGCTCTGTGCCCTCCTGTGTTCTCTGTATCCCTAAAACCTTACATAGAATCATAGAATGGTTTGGGTTGGAAAGGACCTCAAAGATCATCCAGTTCCAACCCCCTGCCATGGGCAGGGACACCTCCCACCAGACCAGGTTGCTCAAAGCCCCATCCAGCCTGGCCTTCAACACTTCCAGGGATGGGCCATCCACAAATTCCCTGGGCAACCTGTTCCAGGGTCTCACCACCCTCACACTAAAGAATGTCTTCCTGAGATCTCATCTAAATCTCCCCTCTTCCAACTTAAAACCATCACCCTTTGTCCTGTCACTGCACTTCCTGACAAAGAAGTCAGGACACCAACATCATGATATTGAAAACAAATTCACAAGTCAACTCCAGCTCAAATGAAAACGGAGAAAGTTTACTACTGGAATTTGAATATCAGGGAAAAAAACCAACTTGAATTTACTGACATCACCCCATGGCAAAACCTCCACCAGAGAGATAAAATGGTAAATGCTCCAAGAGGACGAAGCTTTGGGCAATCCAAAACTGGCTCCCCACCTTTGGGACATGCCAGATTAATTCCATCTTAACGAGCACGCTCTGAAAACAGTCTGCCTTTTTATCCTCCCATCTAGAGAAACGATGAAAACGGCTTCACCGGACTTATTTTTTGTGATAAAAGAGAGTGTTAAAACCCGAACGAGGTCAGCTCGGAGCCGCCGAAGGAAAGGACAGAGAAAGCGCAACACAGAGTTAATTGTGAGATATGAAAAAAAAAAAAAAAAACAACCCAAAAAAATCTTAGTTTATTTAACAATGTTGTTAACGTTTCATACAAAGACACAAAACGATTCTCTTTTTTTCCAGGACTTTGGGGGCTGCCTTCCATCTCCACCCGACCGCTGCTCTCCCAGGAGTGAAAGGGACAGCGCTGACCGGATGAAGCCAGGTAATTTGGAGGGGCTTTGAATTTAGCTTCACTTTTAATCCTTGGCCAACCCTACGTGTAACATTTTCCATTCTGCTCCAGCGACGTAACGAACAGGTACAAAAATACGGCAAATTCTAGGACAATCGAAAATCCTCTTCTAATTACAGCTTTATTTCTCAAGTCCCAGAATTCCTACGAAGGCTTCTTTGAAATGACCCCTGATTAGCCCCATTCAAGTGTTAGATGGAAGAGGTTTTATTGGTTCTTTTTGTTTGTGGGTTGGGTTTTTTTGTTGTTTGTTTGTTTGAATAACCCCATAGTGGTCAGAAACGTCAAACCCTGTTTTAAACATCTATAAAAGCATTTATGGACCTAGATGTCTAAGCTTAGGTCATTAAAAGAAAGGTTAACTCCCGATAGTCACTGCAGTGCCTTCAGTTTTACCAGCTTATTCTGGAAGTGCCACCAAGAGGGATCTGAAAGACAGAAGACACCAAATTTACAGAATTGGCATGAAAAGAAAAGCTTGATTCATCTTTACAGAGCGGTTTGCAGTCCCAGAGGACAGCGATCGACTGCGAAGCCACTGATTTTCTGGAGGGCTGAGCATCTTTGCCTGCGACAGCGTGTTCATTAAAGCTAAATCGAGGTCAACTAAGGACACCGTGTGATGACAACCCACAGTTGAGCCCTGGAAGACCCCACCAGGCACAGACCCCACCGGTTGCTTGGGAACAATCAACACAACCCCGTGATGCGACAGACAAAAACCATGACCAGTAGAAATCGACTGGCAGCCAAGTCTTTCGGGAGCTTCAGCAAACGACTGTCACATCTCGTTTGGGTAACGAGCGGTAACACGCAACACGAGTGTGTCCCCACCAGGGCATCGCTTTAGAGGCAGGGTGGCGCGTTGCTCTCTAAAGGATCAGCAACAAGATGTTCCTGTAAATCGTTTTTTGGGGTTCAGGAGGTTCAAAGGGCTGAGCTGCTCCACAGAGGATGGAGAAGATGACAATGTCCTCCCTCTCCACCCCTATTTTCAGAGCGTAGAACCACGCTGATCATTAGCAGGGTGATTAGCACAGACCAGCAAGAGCTGTTCTCCTCCCTTCACCCCTTCAGTTCTTTACACCCTTCATTAATGAACTTATTTCAATTACTCTCAGGCTGGTGGGTATTTTAAAAAAGGCCCATCACGCCCACAGGTCCCAAACTGCCACCTGGAGCGATGTCACCACAACACTTGACCCTGCACTTGAAGATGGCTCCATCGGCTCCTCAGCTCCAAGCAGTGAAAGCAGAAGGATAGAAGGGCTCCCTATACAGTCACCTCTTCATTAGTTAGTAATTAATCTCCCCCAGCCATCTGCCACACTGTGGAAGGCCCGGAGTTAAGCAGCAGGAGGAATTCCACTGAATTCCAAAACTACTTCTTACAGGTTTTATCTACCAGCACTACCTCGCTCCTTAGAGATCTGCTGCCAGCAAGTAACTCTCCTTAATCCTGCTCGAGTTTAAACCAGGACATTAACCATTCAAATTTGAATTTTCAACAGCACAATTCTATTTTTTTTAATTTATTTGTTTTATAAACCAGAGATCAAAACCATTTTGGAGATGGTCATTATCAGAGCTAAGCCTTCCATTCACCGAGAGGCGCTTCATCTACAGCTGAAAAGATTTCCCTAATTTTAAAATGTGCCCTTTATCAAATACGGCTACCAGCAAGTAACTCTCCTTAATCCTGCTCGAGTTTAAACCAGGACATTAACCATTCAAATTTGAATTTTCAACAGCACAATTCTATTTTTTTTAATTTATTTGTTTTATAAACCAGAGATCAAAACCATTTTGGAGATGGTCATTATCAGAGCTAAGCCTTCCATTCACCGAGAGGCGCTTCATCTACAGCTGAAAAGATTTCCCTAATTTTAAAATGTGCCCTTTATCAAATACGGCAACAGTCCAGTGGTGGAACAACCAGTATCTTGACTTTTTTTTTTATAACGGCTCCACTCTGTGCTGCAAAGTCTTCCCCAGGGTAGGAAGAGCAACTGAAGAAAAATTTGAGCTCTTAAACCAAACAATAAATACTAATTCAGAACCGGTGGCAGCGGTCAAGATCAGAAAAACAAATTCAGAAACAGAGTAAAACAAGCAACAGAGGAGGAGGGGAGATGCACATCACCCCTCAGCAACAGCCCTTCTCTGTAATCCCTGATCAACTACTTCTCACCCATTCCCATCCACTTTTTTCAGCGTGTCATTGTCTTATTTCATAGGATCACAGAATGGTTTGGGTTGGAAGGGACCTTAAAGATCATCCAGTTCCAACCCCCCAGCCATGGACAGGGACACCTCCCACCAGACCAGGTTGCTCCAAGCCCCATCCAGCCTGGCCTTGAACTCCTCCAGGGATGGGGCAGCCACAGCTTCTCTGGGCAACCTGTTCCAGGGTCTCACCACCCTCACAGCAAAGAATTTCTTCCTGAGATCTCACCTAAATATCCTCTCTTTCAGTTTAAAACTGTTTTCCCTCATCCTATGGCTCCACTCCCTGATCAGGAGTTCTCTCCATCTTTCCTGGAGCCCCTCGAGGGACTGGAAGGGGCTCAAAGGTCTCCCTGGAGCCTTCTCTTCTCCAGGCTGAACCCCCCCAACTCTCTCAGCCTGTCCTCACAGCAGAGGGGCTCCAGCCCTCCCAGCATCTCCGTGGCCTCCTCTGGCCCCGCTCCAACAGGTCCACGTCCTTCCTGTGCTGAGGACTCCAGAGCTGGACACAGTGCTCCAGGTGGGGTCTCACGAGAGAGGATTAAAAGGTGTTTTTGTGGCCCTTTCTTCCCTTTCCCATCTCCTCTTCCCTCCCCTGAGCTTTGCCTGTCTGCCACCACACACACAGTCCCAGAAGAAGCAGCTCTTCTTCTCCCACCCAGCACCAACGAGGAAACGCCGGCACGTCTTGTAATGCCACTAAGGGGACAAAAGCAGTAGGGGTGACAGTAGGGAAGAGGGGACACTGGCACAACCACCTGGGCAGGGTGTTGTCTCTACGTTGTGTGTTTCTGACAACAATCCCATCCTGATTGCTCAGGAACTTTACCAGGAACTGCTCCTGCTCTGCTTACAGTGAAGGAAGAGATGGACTCAAGGCGCTGGGAAATCTTGCACACTAAGGGTGAGATAATGGACACTAAGGACAGAGACATCCCAGCAACAGCTCCAGCATTTATGTATCAGCATCTCAGAGCCTTTGAGATGGGATAATCCTTCATTTACCAAACGGCTGATCTGTCTTCCAGACAGACACATCCACACAGCACAGCGGTTGATACCAATAGGCAATTTTGGACAGATTGTCTTTCCACACTTGTGATAACTACCTTTTCCTTCTCTAAATCACCATCATCCTGACATCACATGATACCTCCCGCAGGAGGTCTGGCTGGGATCACGTGTGTTATACAAACTAAAGAGACAGAAAGCTCTGCAGGACTGAAAAGTGTCGCTGGTGGAAGACAGAAGAACTTACAGCAGTGAATGTCCTCCTCAGTGATCCACTTCTGCATCTTCAAACTGCCCCGCAACTACTGGAGCTATGTCCACCTCCATCCCATCTGGAAAACAACAGTCAATGCTGGGTATCACAGAATCACAGGGTGATATGGGGTTGGAAGGAACCTCTGGAGATCATCTAGTCCAACCCTCCTGCCAGAGCAGGTCCACCCAGAGCAGGTTGCACAGAAAAACGTCCAGGTGGATTTTGAATGTCTCCAGAGATGGAGACTCCACCACCTCTCTGGGCAGCCTCTGCCAGGGCTCTGCCACCCTCAAAGTGAAGAAGTTCCTCCTCATGTTTAGGTGGAACTTTTTATGTTCAAGTTTGTGCCCATTTCCTCTTGTCCTGTCACTGGGCACCACTGAAAAAAGACTGGCCCCATCCTCTTGACACCCACCCTTTAAGTATTTATAGGTGTTGATCAGATCCCCCCTCAGTCTTCTCTTCTCCAGACTAAGAAGACCCAAGTCCCTCAGCCTTTCCTCATCAGAGAGATGCTCCAGGCCCCTCATCATCTTCGTAGCCCTAATTAACACAGGGAAGAGAGCGAGTGCCCTCTGTTGACAAGAGGCGGCCAGAGCAGAAACCTCCTCTGAACTTCTGGCAGCAGCCCAAGGAGAAACACTGATGAGCTCACAAATTTCTGGTTTTGTTCCAGCTCGATCTGTCGGTCACTTAAAGACATCACCTACAGCCTCGTCTCACCCCATCTTATTAAAAGGCTTAAATGCTGGATTTAAACTATTTCACTTCTTAAATGAAATTTCCGTGTAATAAATGCCACGATTCCTTTTAAAAGCTTTAATTAATCGTGCTCTACCAGAAAGAAGCTTGATCCTGTTCTGAAACCGCTCTCGGCAATTATAATTTTGAGGGAAAAAAAAAGAACTATCGCTTTATGTTACAATGTCAAAAAATAACAGAATTCAGAAACTGAGCAGCCCCGGGGATATCAATAATTGTACAAACCAAGAAGCGGAACCGTAGCAAATAAGATCGGGAAGGCCAATAAAACTGATGACGATGGCTTTGAGACATGTGAGGTATTTGCTGTGCAATTTATTTTAATTTTCATAATTTTCAGGGTCAGAAACCTGACAAAATTTTCCGATGAAGGGCACTGCTAAAACAGGAGTATATAACCAAGTTATCTTTACATTATATAAATCTATTCAAAGTTGTGGAACAAAGAGAACCTGTAAACAACTGACAAGGCAAAAAAAGATTAAAAAAAATAATTGATTAGTTATGATTCTGTTGACTATTCTGGACAAGCTGAGAGCTAGAAATCCACAGCAGCCACACCATTTTTCATCCTTCAAGAATGCCAAGCCCCATTAAAAACTCAGATTTATATCCAAAAAAAGAAGAAAAGCTACTAAACTACTTCCCCATTCTTCTCCCCGTTAATATATTGCTCCAGGAAAAACACGATGGAGAAAAGGCAAATTTTGAGAGACTGGGGTTTTTTTCCAACAAAAGGAAACCTTACTCCTTAAATATATATTTGAACAATCAGTCAAGTTAAGAGACTGCATCCTTCAGAAAAGCAGATTTTTAAAAAAAATCTGTTCTAGTCTATTTGAGTGATTATGAATTCACACTGAAATCTGTAAGGGAATTATTAATTTACAATTTAGGATATTCAAAAAAATAAATAGTATTACCTGTTTAGAGTGCAAATTGCTTCCTAATCCCAGTGTAGACATTCTTTTTTTTAATCCTAAATCAACTTCACCCTACCACTATTCCAGGGAATCCCACCAGGAAATCCTTGCCAGGCTGGAGAATCATTGTTTTCATATATTTTAGTAAAAGAAAAGGATTTCTTACCTTCAAACTCCCTTATGGAGTCTTCTGTTCTCACTCCTGCCATGTTGTACTGGCTGCTGACGGACTGGGCTAACATGCCTTCTAACCTCTCCAGGGTGGCCTGACCTTCTGCGGTTAAATGCGACAATCCTTCTTCGTAAGTGTAAAAGCTCGGGATGTCACCTTGTTCCAGCTCTGAGAAAACAAGTTCATGTTTATCAGATCTGAGTTCAGGAGTCCGGATCAAGCAGGGGTGGAGGAAGAGGATAACAGTTCGGCAAGTTACGCTAAAATTAACAGACTGAGATTAAAAGGCTGCTTATATAGGTTATGGAACATACAGGGTGATGTCAACTCACCACGCCACGTCAATGGCACTGAACTTGGGCCAGCACATCCACTGGGAACAGGAAGGCTGCTATTTGTGATTTGGGCTTTTGAATCATAGAATGATTTGGGTTGGAAGGGACCTTAAAGATCATCCAGTTCCAACCCCCTGGCCTGGGCAGAGACACCTCCCACCAGACCAGGTTGCTCAAAGCCCCGTCCAGCCTGGCCTTGAACACCTCCAGGGATGGGGCAGCCACAGCTTCTCTGGGCAACCTGTTCCAGGGTCTCACCACCCTCACAGCAAAGAATTTCTTCCTGAGATCTCATCTAAATCTCCCCTCTTCCACTTTGAAGCCATTACCACGCACCCTGTCACTACATACCCTTGTAAAAAGTCCCTCCCCATCTTCCCTGGAGTCCCTTGAGGCACTGGAAGGGGCTCCAAGGTCTCCCTGGATCCTTCTCTTCTCCAGGCTGAAGCCCCCCAACTCTCTCAGCCTGTCCTCACAGCAGAGGGGCTCCAGCCCTCCCAGCATCCTTGTGGCCTCCTCTGGCCCCGCTCCAACAGGTCCATGTCCTTCTTATGTTGGGGCCCCAGAGCTGGGAGCAGATCTCCAGGTAGGGTCAAGAACAATGTGTTTTGCTGAATTCCAGTGATTTCTGACAGCTAAACTACACATCATCTGCAGATTTCTGAGGTTTTACATTGTCTCTGTGGCATGAAGAATGTTTCAGCAAGATAAACAAGGAACTTCTTAACAGCCCAAACCATTCTCATGGCAGACACCGCAGGAGAAGTTCCTGGTATCCAGGACCTGGTAGATATTTCAAAAGAAAGAAGTGTTACGAACCACGGGCCTCGACGTCGTACTCCTCCCCTTCGTAATCGTTGTCTGAATCTTCATCATCTGGGTCTGGGTGCAGAGCTTGGCATTCACACATGGCTGAGAACATGGCTTCCACTGCAGGAACACAAATGAACACAGACCTCCCTCGTTTCTCCACCAACACTCCACAACAAGAGGCAAGAAATCCTGGCCCAAGCGACCAAAGAGATCCACAATATTCCTTTACCAAAACCCACCACTGAATTCATATTCGAAAACATCGTCCAAGGAGCCACGCAAGAAACAAACCATGTTTCCCAATTCCAGCTCGGTGTTTTATCCTCTTAAGAGCACTTTCCCGTTATTTCACTGAGGAAAAAATGTTTATCTTTGGACAATTCAGCCTGTGGTTACCCCCCACAGGATTCCTTGCGGCATCTAATACAAAAAATTCTTAGAACTTGGATACAACTAAGCTCCACACCAGTCAGGATACAACTGCTTTCCAGCATCTGGACATTAGTATGTTCTTAATAAAATGGTTGCTGACTCACAATATCACTGAATTTGTAATTAAGAAGATGTTTGCCATATCAGTTCTCTGTGAATGTATATAGAGAAGATTATCTGTGTCATGGATTTAGACTTAAAAGTCTCTATTTTAAAGCACTGGATTTTTCCTTGAGAAGTGGCTCCTTGAAGTATTCCAGCTTCAGCAATATAAAACAATTTGCTTTGTTCTTTTCAGCACCCAGAAATGAATTAAGTAGAGGAGGACACTAAAGAATCACGTCATTTACATCTCTCTGCCCCAGTGTCTTCCACATTTAGGTAGAACTTTAAGCTAAAGTGTGATTTCCCTCTTCACTTACAGGCTGATTTGTCACTAGGCACAAATCTGAATTCCGCAATCGGTTCAGCGTCGTCATCGCTGTCTTCCTCCTCCTCCCCTTCAGCCACGGGAGGCTCTTTTGTCCCCTCCTCTGTAGGAAATTGAAAGATTTAAGAGAAACATGTTTATTTTCTCAAAAAAAAAGTCAAATTTATTCTTTGAGGAACACACAGGTAATCAAATCAGAGACCTGGATACAACAAGGGCAATGAAGCTGGTGAGGGGTTTGGAGAATAAGTCTTGTGAAGAGCAGCTGAGGGAGCTGGGGGTGTTCAGCCTGGAGAAGGCCAAGGGGAGACCTTCTCGCTCTCTCCAACTCCCTGAAAGGAGGGCGTAGCCAGGGGGGAGTCGGTCTCTTCTCCCAAGTCCCAGGTGATGGGACAAGAGGAAACAGCCTCAAGTTGCACCAGGGGAGGTTCAGGTTGGATATTAGGAATAATTTTGACACTGCAGGGTTATTAAGCCTTGGAATGGGCTGCCCAGGGAGGTGGTTGAGGCACCATCCCTGGAGGGATTCAAAAGACGGGTTGACATAGAGCTTAGAGACATGGTTTAGTGGTGGGTTTTATCAGAGTTAGGTTGATGGTTGGACTAGATGATCTGAAAGGTCCCTTCCAACCTGGACAATTCTATGATTCTAACCTGTGAGAGGCACAAACACACCCACTCCCATCCACCTTACTGATATCATCTTGACAACTCTTGCAACACACATAAAAACTTCTCTATTTATAATTTTAGGACTTTAGATTTCTGCAGTGGTCACACAAAGTACTTCAGGAAAACTGATTCTTATTAAAAACAACTGTGCTCGCCCCCCCCCCGCCCCCCCCCAATTTACAATCATTACCATTTACCTGCACTATGCTCTATATGTATTTTTTTAAAACCACATGAATTTTACAGATCCTTAACGCTACTCTCATGAAATCAACTTGCTTCCCATCTGCCCTCTCCCTGAGAACTCTGGCATTTACAGAAGGTCTCAACTCGATTTCAGCCACTCCTTGCCAGCCAACAACATCTCAGAGGTAGAAACTGCACCCAGAGCCAGTGACAGCTGTGGGCAAAGCTGTGCTCCCCGATGCCTGTGACCAGATGAGCAACACAACAGCATTTTATTTTCTCTAAATATTAAAGCCAGAAAGAAAATGGCTTCAGTTCACAGAATCACAGAATGCTATGGGGTCAGAAGGGACCTCTGGAGATCATCTAGTCCAACCCCCTGCCAGAGCAGGGCCACCCTCACAGTGAAGAAGTTCCTCCTCATGTTTAGATGGAACTTCTTATAGTCAAGTCTGTGCCCATTTCCTCTTGTCCTGTCCCTGGGCACCACTGAAAAAAGACTGGCCCCATCCTCTTGACACCCACCCTTTAAGTATTTATAAGCATTGATCAGATCACTCCTCAGCCTTCTCTTCTCCAGACTAAAAAGACCCAAGTCCCTCAGCCTCTCCTCGTAAGAGAGATGCTCCAGGCCCCTCATCATCTTCGTAGCCCTCTGCTGTCCCCTCTCCAGCAGTTCCCTGTCCTTCTGGAACTGGGAAGCCCAGAACTGGTCCCAGTGCTCCAGCTGGGGCCCCACCAGGGCAGAGCAGATGGGCAGGATGACCTCCCTCCATCTGCTGGTCCCACTCTTCCTGATGGACCCCAGCTCATCACTTTGTGGCTGGGGACGCTGCACTGACAACCTCAAAACTGCAGAATTCTTTTCTACAGAAAAAGAGCAATACAGTTAAGGCTCTTCCCCCAAGAGTGGCTTTTATCACAAACAAAACTGGCACGGCCAAGAATACGAAGAAGCCAAGAAGCTGCCAACCAGCTGCCCCCAGAAATGAAGTCTCCAAGGAAGCCACACAATCCTTTTCCAACTGACACCCGCGGGCACAGCTTGTTACTGCCAAGTCCAGCTCTTTGTTTTCAGTGAAGCCAACCCTCTGGTTGCCTTTTCTAAAAAAGAGGCGAGGATGAGGCACACACACACAGAAAATGCAACAAAAACTTGCAGAGGAAGAACAAAATGTACTCGGCCCAAGGAAGAAATGAAACCTCCTGCAGCCAAAGAAGTGGAGAGGTTTGGGTTTAACACTATTCAACGGTTACAGTCCTGGGCCAGGGGTAAACCTGGAAACTAAACAAACCTTCCACTTGCTGTAGGTGATTTAATGTAGCCAGAATTGATGAATTTTAAAAAATAAAATAACAAAAATCCTCATAAAAATTAAGTCTGTTAAGGATTTATAGATAAGGACTATCGCAGGATACCCCAAATAGGGGTATCCTATATGAAAAATCCTATCCTATATGAAAATATCAAACACCTTTCTTCAGACTAAGCTCTGGTCACTTCAAATAAACACAAAGGAAAATGAGGGAAGAAGAACCAAGAGGTGCACGCACACATTCTCTGACGATTTGTGGTGACAGATTGTCAGAGAACCCCACTCATATGAGAGAAGGAAATAAAGGGAAGTATTAATAGCTTAAAAACGCCTCTGCCTCCTCAGAGTCTTGTCAGTACTCTCAGTATATAAACTATTTAAAGAAAAATTAAAAGCCAGACTTGAACTACAATGACTAGTAGGCATGAAGGGGAAAGGAGACCTGCTCAACACTTAACACTCGCTACTCTTCGATCAAGAAGGTAGTTTATCACACTCTTAAAATATGAACAGGTCTGATGGAAGAATCACAGAATCACATAGGGTTGGAAGGGACCTCTGGAGATCATCTAGTCCAACCCCCTGCCAGAGCAGGTCCACCCAGAGCAGGTTGCACAGGAACGTGTCCAGGTGGGGTTTGAATGTCTCCAGAGAAGGAGACTCCACCACCTCTCTGGGCAGCCTCTTCCAGTGAAGAAAAAAGTCAATACATCAAAACCTGAAAATTTCCATAGAAATAATGAAGCAGAAAGCTTGTTTTTTCTAGGTCAAAGCAAGGCTGGTGAAAAGGCTGGTTCTGGGTTCACCTACAAAGACCCATATCGCCATATTTTTTTAAGCAAGCTGTGGGAGATAATGAATGAGCGCTCCAGGCTAATGGGAATCAGCAGGAATTCATACAGGCTGCAGAGGGTAGCAACATTAACATAAATTTAATAAAGCAAAAATGATACTTAACCTGGTATCACGGGGAGAGAGCAGAGGAACTAATTTATTTAAAATGAGTGTAAGAGAGCAGAGAACCCATTTTCAGCGGCTCCAGCTGTAGGTACTCACATGCTGAGAGCTCAACAGTAGAGAAATGACTCTGAACAAGGGCAAAGCTATGCTTCTGTGTCCAGTTTTGGGCCCCTTACCACAAAAAAAGACATTGAGGGGCTGGAGCAGGTCCAGAGAAGGGCAACGGAGCTGGTGAGGGGTCTGGAGCACAAGTCTTGTGAGGAGAGGCTGAGGGAGCTGGGGGTGTTCAGCCTGGAGAAAAGGAGGCCGAGGGGAGATCTCTCTCCACAACTCCCTGAAAGGAGGGTGTAGAGAGGTGGGGATGGGTCTCTTCTCCCAAGGAACAGGCCATAGGACAAGAGGAAATGGCCTCAAGTTGCACCAGGGGAGGTTCAGATTGGATATTAGGAACAATTTTGACACTGCAAGGGTTATTAAGCCTTGGAATGGGCTGCCCAGGGCAGTGGTAGAGGCACCATCCCTGGAGGTGTTCAAAAGTTGGGCTGATATAGTGCTTAGAGACATGGTTTAGTGATGATTTTTTATCAGAGTTAGGTTGATGGTTGAACTGGATGATCTGAAAGGTCCTTATGATTCTAAAACAACCATCCTTCAGAGAAACGAAAAAGAAAATACAAGGTATTACTTGAATGAAGCATATAATTTTTAAAAACAGAATTTACTCTCTTTGAAGAAAAAATCCTGCCTCCCAGGACCACGTGGGAGCACTAAGCAAGACTCTGGGCATACCTTCAAATTTGGCATTGACCATGACGTACAAGTGCTCGGAGGGGAAGGCGCTCAGGTCCCTGGAGACGGCGTGTAAACTTATGGTGGGATAATCCAAGGAGAAGCCAACTCCAGAGTTTTCCAGCCAAGACAGGCGACTAACAAGGAGGTGGGGGGAAAAAAAACAGAAGAGACAAGTTAGAAACTAACAGAGGAATCCAAGGTACCCAACTCACGCCTGCAGAAATGCAAATCAACCCCCAAAAAGTGAGTAATTCCAGACAAGGCACCTACCCCGCTCTCAGGTAATATAGTCCTGGACCTGCCCAAACAGGACCTTGCAACAACTAATGGCTGAGGTAAAAAAACCCTACCTTTTCTTAAAGAATACGAAGCTGAGCTCCCTAAACATATTTCAACTTTATCACATTCACACTAAATCCCGAATTTCTCTCCCTACCTCTTCATTTTCTTCTCCCTATAAATAGCTGTCATCCCAAAGCTCACTGCAGAGGTTCCAGAATACGATTAATAACTCAAACTATTAAACGTTCTCTGATTTTGCAAGATAAAGTGGATACTGAAAGAAAAGTCAGGTTGTATTTTCTGAAGAATCAGAGATCTTGATGTAGGTATAGCCTGTATGTAGAAAAACAACCAGTTTTGTGACCAGCAGAGGTAAGGAAACCAGGTTATGGTTTCCCTCCCTTCACAACTTAGGTTCTACAACTTCTGCTTCCCCGCATTTTCACTCTCATCCCTGACCACACCAAGAGACAGCACGGGTTGGCACCACTGGGCTGCTACCTCCTTCATATCACAGAGATCCATGTCTTTCCAGCGGCCCAGAAATCAAACCCAAGCTAGTTTTTGGGCATCTGTGATCGATGAGGTCAGGCAGAGAACAGAAATAGGGAGAGGCAGAAAGCGAGACCTCCATCACGTGCAAAACTCAGCGTCCAAGTTTTTTTCTGGAGGGACAAAACCACTGAGAAGGTCACAGAAAGCCTCCTTGTCCCAGGAAATCAGGCTGAGAGCGAGAGATAATGCAGTGGGAGCAAGGAATTTCTTTCCTAGCCTCCCTCAGCCAGTTCTAACCATTTACAGCTGCTGACACGGAGGCAGCACACGGATCCAAAGCCGCATTGTCCGCCCGGTTCTCCCACGGCACCGCACTCCTGCGGAGGCGTTTTCTATTCAGGAGCAGCAAGTGGCTCTGGTAAAAGCTCTGCAACACGCTGGAAACATTTTGGGAAGAAGCTGGCAGCATTTTACGTGCTTCACACAAAAAAAGTACTGAAAGCAAGTTACAAGGAAACTCAGCATTATACGTGTTGAGAGCAGGCGCCGCGCGAACAGAAACCCTTGTATCTACAACTAAACAAAGCAGTAACTCAAATTCCAGAGAGATTCCTCTCCGAGAGGAACACAACATCACTAACAAGTCTAGGTCAGGCAAAACCCCCTCAAATATTTCCTGGTTTATAAACATTTCAAGGTCTAAAGGTTTTAAAAGACAATTCATGCCTAAGTATACATTTTAGATGGTGTTTTTGTTCTAACAACACTCTTCCACTGTGGAAATATATTATATTCAGAGTACATTTCCACGGTGAAGAAAAATGATGTTGCCTTTATAGCAAGCTCTCTTCTTGAACTGTGCAAGGCAGGGAGGATACGTCTTCCACCATAACCTCACTTATTTGTGCCTAGTGAGAACACGGAGTGCCCACGTGATTAATGTGACATGAAAGACTTCACAGAACCACAGCAGAAAACCAACAGCCCTGGTCGCTCCCCTGTCAAGGGAAGAGAGGTACCGAGTGCTTTTCATGTCTCAACCAGCCGGATGCCCTGGCTGTGCTCTTCACTCTTGCGTTGTTTAAAAACCATTTCCAGCAAGAATAAAGGGGAAGTCCCTCAGAGCCTGCCCCTCAGCCCTCTTTGAGGGTGTCCCCCACACAACGGCCCCCCTTTTTTGAGTCACATAATGATACAGGGTTGGAAGGAACCTTCAGAGATCACCTTGTCCAACCCTCTGCCAAGCAGGGTCACCCAGAGCAGGTTGCAGAGGAACGTGTCCAGGTGGGGTTTGAATGTCTCCAGAGAAGGAGACTCCACCACCTCTCTGGGCAGCCTCTTCCAGGGCTCTGCCACCCTCAAAGTGAAGAAGTTCCTCCTCATGTTTAGATGGAGCTTCCCATGTTCAAGTTTGTGCCCATTTCCTCTTGTCATGTCACTGGGCACCACTGAAAAAAGACTGGCCCCACCCTCTTGACACCTACCCTTTAAGTATTTATAAGCATTGATCAGATCCCCCCTCAGTCTCACCTTCTCCAGACTAAAAAGACCCAAGTCCCTCAGCCTCTCCTCCTGAGATGCTCCAGGCCCCTCTTCATCTTTGCAGCCCTCTGCTGTCCCCTCTCCAGCAGTTCCCTGTCCTTCTTGAACTGGGGAGCCCAGAACTGGACACAGCCCCCCACATCCCCTCAGGGGAGACCCCACAGTCCCTTCAGAGGAGGGAATCCCTCAGGGCGGCCCCACACTCCCCCCAGGGGAGAGGACATCCCCTCCACCCCCAGCCTGGTCTCCACCAGACCCCAGGGGAGGCCCCTCACAACCCGCCCCCCCTCAGGAGAAGCCATACAGTCTCCTCACGACGGTATCCCCGGTTCCTGCCGGGCAGCATCCCCTCAGAGCGACCCCCTCACCCCGAGGCCTACGGGGCTCCCCCACACACACTCACTTTCCGCCCCCCCCACCCTCACCTCTCGGCGATGTAAAGCGTTCCGGCGCCCAGGGTGCGCCCCGCCAGCACCGCCTCCGTGTCGGGCTGCCGGTGGCGAACGCCTTCGGCCGGCGGCGGGAATCGCTTGAGGAAACTCATGGCACCGTCGCCGCCTCCCTCCTCCACCATGGCTGCCGCCTCCTCCTCCTCCTCCTCCGCGCCCGCCGGAAGCGGAACTGCTCGTCCTGCCCGGGCCCCTCTGGCCGCGTCTCTATGGTCCCCGCGCCGCCGCCATGTTGGGGCCGTTCCCGCCTCGCCGGCGGGCGTCGTCAACCCACAGGGGAAAGGACGGTGTTTCACCTCAAAACGTCGTGTTCTTGAGGGTGAGTCGCAGCCTCTGCCCAGAGCGATGCGGTCTGTGACCCAGGAGCATCCCCCTCGGGCATTTTTGGGAATAAAATTTTCATTAGGGAAGCGCAGAGGAGCGCTGAGATGATTACTGTGGGAAACGAGCTAAGTTTTGCTTCAGCTTATTGACATATTCTTGTTGGTGTGTCAGGACTAACAAAGGAGTCTTAGTGATAGTAGAGTCTAATAAATTGTGTCCAATTCATCCCCAGAAATCCCTTGGTCTGTCAAGGGATCCTTGTTGGCAGAGCGTTATCTGGGGGAAGAGAAACAGACTGGAACTTGGCCTTCAACACAGGAACCCGGAGGGGAGGGGAGTATCAATAAGGCCAAAGAAACCAGTCTTGGGCAGTAAATCTGCCAAGTAGGTGGTAGCAAAGACTGTGAAATAATGTGTAGCATAATCAAATAATCAAACGCGAAAATAATGATTTCATAGAGTAGGTGTATGTGTGCCTTGCATGGGAAAAATATGAACTAAACCTGTAATAAGGCGGTCGGGAAGAATGTGAGCTCCAACTTCTCAGCCTGTGGAAAGAGAGACAGAGGCCTCTGCCCAGAGCGATGCGGTCTGTGACCCAGGAGCATCCCCCTCGGGCATTTTTGGGAATAAAATTTTCATTAGGGAAGCGCAGAGGAGCGCTGAGATGATTACTGTGGGAAACGAGCTAAGTTTTGCTTCAGCTTATTGACATATTCTTGTTGGTGTGTCAGGACTAACAAAGGAGTCTTAGTGATAGTAGAGTCTAATAAATTGTGTCCAATTCATCCCCAGAAATCCCTTGGTCTGTCAAGGGATCCTTGTTGGCAGAGCGTTATCTGGGGGAAGAGAAACAGACTGGAACTTGGCCTTCAACACAGGAACCCGGAGGGGAGGGGAGTATCAATAAGGCCAAAGAAACCAGTCTTGGGCAGTAAATCTGCCAAGTAGGTGGTAGCAAAGACTGTGAAATAATGTGTAGCATAATCAAATAATCAAACGCGAAAATAATGATTTCATAGAGTAGGTGTATGTGTGCCTTGCATGGGAAAAATATGAACTAAACCTGTAATAAGGCGGTCGGGAAGAATGTGAGCTCCAACTTCTCAGCCTGTGGAAAGAGAGACAGAGACTCAGGTGGCCGGGATAAGGGTATAAAATACCTGAAAGCTGAAAGATCAGCGTGCACCTATTTTTGGTGCACCCGATTCAGCGCTGTTTTGTATTAATAAATTATTTAACCTTTGCTTCGGTGACTTTGTCCTCTTTAAATTTTAAGATGTGAGTTGGTGTTTCTCACATTACCGACAACAGGAGGGAGCTGGGGGTGTTGAGCCTGGAGAAAAGGAGGCTGAGGGGAGACCTTCTCACTCTCTCCAGCTCCCTGAAAGGAGGGTGTAGCTGGGGGGTGTCGGTTTCTTCTCCCAAGGAACAGGCGATGGGACAAGAGGAAATGGCCTCAAGTTGCACCAGGGGAGGTTCAGATTGGATATTGGGAAAAATTTTGACACTGAAAGGGTTATTAAGCCTTGGAATGGGCTGCCCAGGGAAGTGGTTGAGGCACCATCCCTGGAGGTGTTCAAAATACAGGTTGATGTGGTGCTTAGTGACATGGTTTATTGATGGTTTTTCATCAGAGTTAGGTTGATGGTTGGACTAGATGATCTTGAAGGTCCCTTCCAACCTAGACAATTCTATGATTCTATTCTACGACAGCTGGTGTGGGCAGTGTACGTATTCTGGCCTGTAAATCTCCGTTGAACAGGTGACAGAAGAAAAAAAAAAATCACAGTAGCTTTTTGGTGACTTAATAGATGCTGGAAAGGGATGGCCGGCACCCAGTGCCTGGGACACATCATGCAATGGTCCACATGGAGAAGAAAAAGGAAGTGACAGGGACCTGAATTGCTTAAAGGATCTCCAGCTGATTTCCAGCAGCAGCGGTGAACTTGGAATTGGGAGGTGGATGTTCCCAATCCCGGGTGTACCTGGTGAGCCTTGGGACAGCAGATTGCAGCAATTCCCCTGGATTTACAGCATTTCTGCAGGAAATTTCTCTTCTGGCACATGCTGCTGCAGTGGGAGATGGGGATTACACCAGTAGAGTGTGGGTAAATAAATGGTAACGTTCAGTCTGCACCGGTGGAGTGTGTCGCTGTCGGGGGATGCTCCTGGTAACTCCACCACCGAGGCAGGGCCACTGGAGACATCTCTTCTCCCTGGCTTTTCAGGTTGGCCCCTGCTCCTGCCGTAGCCACGTACTCACCAAGAGCCCGTGCAGCCGTTCACCTTGTTGTCATGGTTTTCACTCTTCCCATTCATCAGGTTGAATTTCCATCTAAGGAGTCATTTACCTACCTGTGTGCAAACCCAGCTTCTCACAAACACGAAGGGATTATTAACAGAATTAGGTCTCCATCTTTCCTTTCTCTAGACTTTCCTAGTTATGGTCATGAACAGCAAGGAGCCAAAGCAACACGTTCTAGAAAAAGAAAACGCGTGAAGAAACCAGGAGCAAGAAGAACATAACGTGGCTCTTTTAGGCTGAGCTTTCTAAAGTGTTTTGGAAATCTCCTTGGCCACCCCTATCCATTTTGGATTCTAATTATGCAAATAATTACTCATCCAAATCAACCAAAATCAAAGCAACTTCCACAATGAAGTGATATTTAAACTGGATGCTGGAATAGCTTGGAAAAAAAAATAAAAATAAGAGGCAGTAGGAGATGAGGAAAAGGAGGGTTTTTTTCCTCAACCATCTTCAAATTTGCAAGAAAATGGCAAAGAAAAAAAAAGTGGCAAGAAAAGTGCTCGTCTGGAAACAAAACCCCAAGATAGTGAATACGGATCAGACCAAGTTGGACTAAATGATCTCTATGGTCCCTTCCAACTCTAAAAATTCAGTAAAATTCAGACTGAAGCAGCTGGTGGGAAAAGAGAAATACGTGGAAACACCATTTCACCAGAGTTTGCAGTTATAAATCAGTGAAGAAAAAAAAAAATCACAGTAGCTTTTTGGTGACTTAATAGATGCTGGAAAGGGATGGCCGGCACCCAGTGCCTGGGACACATCATGCAATGGTCCACATGGAGAAGAAAAAGGAAGTGACAGGGACCTGAATTGCAGTATTTGTGCTTGTGTCCATCCCCTGTTACCTAACGTGGCTGTAAATACCAGCCACGGAGACCCCTCACGGCCTCTGTAGGTAACTGGAAATCGCACGACAACTCCTTTAGATAGTTTCAAATTAAATTTTCTGAATGACTGAAGTTGCATGAAGCCATTGTGGAGGAGCAATACAGAGTTCACTTCTCCTGCACACATGTGCGAGTCCTTCCTGTGTCACGTACTGCTCTTCCACAAGAAGACAAGAAAAAAGATGGTTTAAACCCAGGCTGGGAAGTTGGTTTGGAGGCCGAAGCATGAGAGAGGAGGAGAAATCTACATCTTCCTCCTTTACAAGATCCAGATCCTTCATAGTCCAGTTCTGAATCTAGAAACTAGCAGACGTTTAGATGGGTAGCCAGACATTTCCTAGAAGTTCACCAACAAAAGAGAAGGGCAATATTTGAAAGCTCTAAGAGCTTTAAAAAGTGCGTTAACGATACATCCCCACCCCAACGCCTCAATGCTGGATGTCCAAGAGTGGTTTAGTCAACCAGGGCCACGTCTAGAGGCAACAGGGAGGAGCAGGTACCATCCCAGGGTTAAGAGCCACCTTAGGACACCAGGTAGGACCCACCACTCAAGGGAGATGATGTTTCTCTCCGCTGAGTGCAGGGCACTGCCTGCTGTAAAGTGTCCAGTTCAGACTTGAAACGCCCAAAGTCCATCAAAAATGCAAATGTAAAGCATTGGTATTTTCACTTTGGAGCAGGAGGATGGATTTCACAGCGATTTCTCATCACTCCAGGCACACGCAGCAGCTTCACCGTGACCACAGCTGGATTCTTAGGACAAATGTTTACCCTGAAAGGGTTATTAAGCCTTGGAATGGGCTGCCCAGGGAAGAGGTTGAGGCACCATCCCTGGAGGTTTTCAGAAGACGGGTTGACATACAGCTTAGTGACATGGTTTAGTGATGGGTTTTTTTATCAGAGTTAGGTTGATGGTGGGACTAGATGATCTTAAAAGTCCCTTCCAACCTAGACATTTCTATGATTCTGTGATTCTAAGAAAAAAGGACTGATGGGTTTAAATGATTCACACGGAGAGAAATCACCCCTTTCTTGGATTCACTTCTCTCCCTGACTTTTTCCTCTGAAAGTCCTAAACCATCATTGATGGCCATTGCCATAACCAGAGCTCAGAACATCTCCATCTTCAGTGCCTCTCTGCAGGCTTCCATCTAGTGCTTTTACACATCATCTCAGCCTAAATAAACGAACCAAGCTCCTCTCTAATTAGCACCATGGATGGAAGCTGGAACAGCCTGGGTCTGGTACTTGCTGCAAGTATGACCCTTGGAAACGAATAGTGGTGATAAATCAGGCAGATTTTCTCCCCGGCTCCAAGAATTCACCACCAACTCAGCACCAACCAACCACCACCAACACAAACAAAATGGAATGTTGTAGCGCAAGGCAAGGGCTGAACCCTGCTCAGGCTGCTTTTTGTCAACTTGACTGCAACATCGCTGTGAAATTAGATAGGAAAATTCTGCAGAAGATAGAATATATGCAGAAAATTATCACAACAATCACAGAATGCGATGGGGTTGGGAGGGACCTCTGGAGATCATCCCTTCCACCCCCCTGCCAGAGCAGGGGCACCCAGAGCAGGTCCCACAGGAACGTGTCCAGGTGGGGTT